GGAAGAGCCCCCTGGATGCAGAAGACAGGCGGCTGGTGGCCATGCCAGGTCCTCCCTGCCCCACTCCATCCTGCTTCTGCCCGTGGCAGTTGGATGATACTTTCTTCTTCCCAGGCCTGTAGTCCTCAGAGCCTTGACCTGCCTTCCCCGCCAAACAAGGATTCTGGGTGGGAAGACCTCCAAGTGAAACCCCAGCTTTAGGAAGAGAAACGGAAACTAGAAATAGGCAGGGGAGGGTCTCTTGCTGGGATACGATCGTACCCCGACTGTCAAACCTGGGCTTTGTTCCAGGGGATTTGTGCTGTTTTATAATTTATCACGGGGGCTGGGCCCTGTGGGTCCCAGCACCGGCGTCTCCCATGGTGATAACGTTCCACACCATTCCCCAGAGCCCGTGGGTGCCCTGCTCCCCACCTGGTGCCTCTGGTAACGGGCTACATGCACCCAGGGCTGTAGGCTGGCTCCACACTTCCCTCTGAAGCTGCCCTTGTTTGCCTGCAGCATTGGGTCTATTCCTCTCTTTAGTTCATTAAACTAGCAGCCCGCATACTCCTAACAGCTGGAATGCTGGCGCCAAGTCCCAGGTGACTTTGACAAATTAGAGTCATAATCTTTTAAGAGCAGGCTATGGTTAAATGGAGCCAAGTTCATGTCCACCAGGACAGGTGTCTACAGAGGAGGGAGGAAGCGACGGTGGGACACCACCCGGGAGTCACATGGCCCCTCCAACCAGGCACAGGCACAGGCAGCAGGATGGGGTTCGGGGCGGCCAAATGCCGGTTCTGTGAAACTTCTACCATCAGGTGGTATCCCCTCTGGTTTTCCATCCATGTTTCAAAAAAGACCCAGAGAAATTAGAGCCACACAGACAGTGAAGTGAACCAAAAGGACACAGAAGAAGCAGGCCATTTAGAGGTGTGGGTAGTTGCATTCTGGGGGGGTCAGAGCTCGGCCATGGGGACTGGATGTCCATCTCCAAGGACAGGCAGGGTGGAGCAGTGGTCCTTCATGTCTCCCAGGACTGGCCTGAGAAATGGGTGTGCTGCAGTGTCCAGTCAGACTGGAGTTGCCTGAGATGGGTTCTGCAAGCTCGAGCTCCCCAGATAATAAGTAGGTAACAGGGATCATGTGAAAAGGGCTTCCGGAGTCTAGTCAGTTTGGGAAATGTGGGGTTAAACCAAACTTGTAAGTTTTCTCAAGGCAGGCCTCCCAGAGCCCCGAGATGCTCAAGGTGCCCACGTTCATCGCACCTTCCAGGGGCCCTTGGCGCGTGGGCTGCTGCCCTGGCTCGTGTGAGCGGCACCTAATTTTTGCAGGTTTGAGCTCTCATGCCCCCTCACCCCCCCGCCCACTCTCTGGGAGCTGCTGAGGCAGACGGATGGAGGAGTTATTGAGGGGAGCTAAATTCTCAGGAGAGGCACCAAGGTGCATTGTGAGTTTGGCCCCCTTGAGCTTAAAATACACTATATTTTCTAGTTCCAAGAGGTTTCCTACAGCCTGAGAGGTTGGGAAGGTCATCTCCAGGCCCCTTCCCATTCCTGTGCTGTGTTTTCTGTTCGCTCAGAAGTCTCGTACTGGGATTAACCACAGCTTCTTTCCAGAGACTATTTCAGGCACACAGGGACCTTTTATCCACATTTCTCTTGGTACCTTGGACCAAATCAGCAGTGCCTTTGACACGGTTGTGTTGAAAAATGACCCACCCACTAAAAAGCTCTGCTTACTTCCTGGGCAAGGACGTTTGCAAAGTCAGGGGAGGGGAAGCCAGTGACCTGCCCTGGCCTCCCCGAAGCTGAGTGCTCTTCTTTCTGACCCACCAGCCCCTGCACGTTGTTTAACTGCTCCAAGAAAGCTGATCCGTGCACCCAGGCGGGGCATTGCCAGTTGCCTTGGTTTGCAGGATCCTCTGCGTCAGAGGTTCTCAACCAGCGCTGATTTTGTCCCCTGGAGACACTTAGCAATGCCGGGGGACGTTTTAGCTTGTCACAGCAGGAGGAGAGGGTGCTGCTGCACCCATAGGATGCTATTCAACATCCCAGGGTGCATAGGACAGCCCCTTAGAATGGAGAATTTCTGATCCTAATGTCAGCAGCATCATCCAGGGCGAGCGTGTGCTCAGTTGGCCCCGTTCTGCAGGCTGTGGCCCAGACACAGCGCTGAGGTTTGCCACATCTGGGCTTCTCAGCGGTGAGAGGAGGGTGAGAGCCCTGCTGAAGGCCCCTGCCCGTGGACTCGCTGACACATCAGAGCTGCTTCGTCTGCCCTGTGGAAAACGTGCTTTTCTCTTTGCAGAACCTGAGAGCCAGAAGCACCAAGGATGCCAAGGACCAAACGACCAAGAACTCTCTGGAAAGTGAGTTCTCCGTGCCGAAGCCCCTGCATGCCCCTGTGGTGGCGGCCGCTGCCAGCAGACGGGAGCAGCCAGGGCGCCCAGCTGGGTCACACTCTGGCCCCTCTGCTGCTCCAGATTTCCAGTAGTGGGGGGTGGGGGGATGGGGAGGGAACCAGCGCTGGCCGTGGTGGGTGCGGAGGGACACGGTCGGGACCTGTTGCCGCCAGTGGGGGGTGGGGGTGGGGCAGGGAACCAGGAAGAGGTGGGAGTTATGGAAGCCCACAAAGCCGGCACTGCCCGGCACTTACAGTGTCATCTTGTCCCAACGGCCCTGCAGGAGGCTCTTGTCTTCCTTTGTTTCAGATGATAAAACAGGTTTAGGGTGGAAAGGACCGTGTAGAACGCAGATTCAGAGTGGCTGGGCAGGGGTCAGGGCCAAGTAGTCGGGCTCCCGGGCCTGTGTTTGCTCTCATCCCTCTGGGCAGAGTGAGCTCAGGAGCAACAAGGTACTTCTCGTTTCTGGCTGTTAGGGTCTTGGGAGGAGTTACGCTCACGGAGAGCAGCAGACGTGGGCCGGGGCCACAGCTATACCGCCCTCTGAGCCGGTTTCCCCCATTTCTGTAAAACGGGGATAACAGTGCATGCCCTGCACTAGTCGTGGGGTTACAGGTGGAGCTGCGCCCTACACGTGAGAACACGTGAAGCGTCTGTGCCCATGATGGGCCCATGGAAAAGCGGGGATGGCCCTGGCCGGTTGGGGCTCCACGCTGCTGGCGTCCAGGCCTCCAAAAACGCTTATAAAACCAAGAGCCGCATCTCAGCATCAGGCTTGGATACACATGGAGAGTAGTGTGCTGGTCCGCACGCCACGGCCTGGGATCTGCGCTGGCGCTTCCTCCCCAGAGTGCTGGCCAGCTCCCTGACCTCAGGCCGGAGGGCCGTCAACACGGAGGCCTTTGAATGCTTGCTGCTGAGTCAGCCACGCAGGCTCGGGTTCTGATCAGCCCTGGACCTGGCACTGATGTCACAGACTGAAGGCTCACAGCCATGTTCCCGACCTTCTAGTGCATCGGGTTCAACCTTGTCACTGAACGGAGGGGAGGTGGGGTTCCCAGGGAATGTGGGGGCTGGCGCTGCCCCCACCTCCACCCTTGCAGTGAGGGTGGGTGGGCAGGCGGGCGGTCCGCCTTCTCTCACCCTTCGTCTCTCCGCAGCCCTGCTCTACAAGCCTGTGGACCGGGTCACGAGGAGCACACTGGTCCTGCATGTGAGTCCCCCGGGCCCGGGGCCTCCTCGCCCTGGGGTTCTTGGCTTCTGTCCTGGGACTGACGCTGATGTCTGTCAATTTTGCCCGCCTGCCCCCTTTTCTGCCACACACCTGTACTGAGGATGCAGAAGTGAGGCACCTCTGCCATCCCTGGGCTCCTGGGGGTGGGAGGGGGGAACGCAGCAGGCTCGCCAGGTGTTCCAGATGCCTCATCAGAGCGGGTACAGGTAGGGAGCATCCCGTCCCACATGGACAGAGGCTTGCGGGTGGAGAAGCTTCCCCGGGGGAGAGGGCGGAGACACATAGCACAGGTTGGGGCACCAATGGCAGGTGCATCCCGGGGCTGTGGTCAGACCACATTCTCCAGCCGGGAGAACGTGTGCGGAGAGGGTGTGCAGGGAGGCCCACCTGGTGGGGCTGCTCCTAAAGGCAGTGGGGAGTCACTTGCACATTATTAAGTGGTCGTCTTAATACTGAGAAACAAAAGCAGGAAAAAAACAAAGGCCCCCAATCCTACTGCCAGGTGATCCTATTTGTATTTAGAGCAAGTCTTACATGTGCATTTTTAAAAATAAATTTATTTATTTATTTTGGCTATGTTGGGTCTTCGTTGTTGCGCGGGCTCTCTCTAGTTGCGGCGAGCAGGGACCACTCTTCTTTGCGGTGCACGGGCTTCTCATTGCGGTGGCTTCTCTTGTTGCGGAGTACGGGCTCTACGCACGTGGGCTTCAGTAGTTGTGGCACGCGGGTTCAGTAGTTGTGGCTTGCGGAGAACACAGGCTCAGTAGTTGTGGCACACGGGCTTAGTTGCTCTGCGACATGTGGGATCTTCCCGGACTAGAGCTCGAACCTGGGTCCCCTGCACTGGCAGGCGGATTCTTAACCACTGCGCCACCAGGGAAGCCTGACATGCGCATTTTTTTAAAAATGTACAACCAAGTCACAGAAGTGTTTGAAGTATCTGTTTACTGCCTTGCTTCCTCCACACGAAGGAGCCACCACCACAAGGATCTTTATGCCGACACACATGGCATCTTTCTAAATCACTCAGACGGTGTTGTGCTGTGCATACCATTCCACATGTGGCTTTTTACCCCTTAATGTTATATATCGTGATAGTTGTCCCACTTCGGCCCAAACAGCTCTGCCTTGTTCATTTTTAAGCTGCGTGGTTTTCCATCCAGTGCACGTTTCAGAACTTCTTACCGTCCTCCGACTAAGAGTTCCTGGATGGAGGGAGATAAGCTGAGATTTGCAGTTTGGGAGGCTCTGGCCGGTGGCCCATCAGAGTCCTGGAGATCCTTTATTTGGTTCCGTCACCACGATGAGCCCAAGCCTGGCAGGGGGAAGCCAGAGCCACCAGGAGCGGTTGCGGGGGACTGGGATCCCCAACACCAGAGCCTCCCCTGAGCTTATTTCATCTCCCCAGGTTCTCTTTGCTGTAGGATTTAGTAGCTAAGAGGGTTTTGTTTCTCTGAACCAAGAAGCCGTAGACTTTGAGCACAAATTACATGCATTCGCAGTAGAGAAGGATTCTCAGGCTCTGATTTAAAAGAGGAGGAGCCGGGGGCTTCCCTGGTGGCGCGGTGGTTGAGAGTCCGCCTGCCGATGCAGGGGATGCGGGTTCGTGCCCCGGTCCGGGAAGATCCCACATGCTGCGGAGCGGCTGGGCCCGTGAGCCATGGCCGCTGAGCCTGCGCGTCCGGAGCCTGTGCTCCGCAACGGGAGAGGCCACAACAGTGAGAGGGCCCGCGTGCCGCAAAAAATAAAATAAAATAAATAAAAGAGGAGGAGCTGGGAAGGTCAGGGGCTTTCTCCTGACCTCACATGGACCGGCGGACCAGGATGGGTTCTGCCCCAGGGGACCTGTGACAATGTCCAGGGGCATTTTTGCTTGTCACAACCACACATGAGGGGGCGCCACTGCCATCGAATGGGCAGAGGCCAGGGATGGTTCCAGCATCCTCCGGTGCCCGGACAGCCCCCACCAAAACCAGCCCTGCATGTCGCCAGGGCCCGGGTAGAGAAACCTGCCCCAGACCTGTAGTGGGGAGCCCCTCTCTGCAACGTGCAAACAGCGTAGGCTTGTGGGGCGCGGTTAGGGGCCTGCTCCCGGCACAGTGCTCGCACAGGTGCTGCCGCGCAGCCCGAGCCATGGTGAGAGGCGGCCCCAGGTCACACCCAGCGCGTCTGCGGCTCTCACAGCAGAGATGCCAGGGCTGCTCTGACTCCATCCTTCGTCCAATGCAGGACTTGCTGAAACATACCCCCTCTGGCCACCCCGACCACCTGCTGCTGCAAGACGCCCTCCGCATCTCGCAGAACTTCCTGTCCAGCATTAACGAGGAGATCACACCCCGCCGGCAGTCCATGACCGTGAAGAAGGGAGAGGTGAGCATGGCGGCCGAGCAGAGGTGGGCATGGGGCCCACTATATCCGCACAGCTCAGCCCAACACAGAAACGCCTGGACTTGGGGGCCCTTGACCCTGGCAGGGTGAACCCAGGCCGGTGTGCAGGGCATCGGGGTGTGGTTTCAGGGGTGCGGGCCTCGCTTAGGGGGTTATGTCCCGGGCACCGCACACCCTGCCGGATCAGGGTCCCCAGCTAAGGAGACCGGTGAGAAGGAGGATGGCATTTGTGTGCCTGGGGACCACTCGGTTCCTCCTGAGTGTTCTTTCATTAACATACAGTTAACAGTGGGTTTAAGGACTTTAAAGCGGAGGAAGGGGGGGTGGGGTGTGTGGTCTGTGCTTGCGGCCGGAGGCCGGCTGGGGAACGAACGTGGGTGACTTCTTTGGCCAGGAGGGCTCTCCTTCCCCTCCTCCCTCCCTCTCTGACAGCCCCTCCCAGTCTCCATCTCTCTGCACATCGTAGATGACAGGGTGTGGACCAGAGGGGCTCAGACACCACCCCTGCCACCTCTGCTCCTTCCTGGGAGGGGCCCAGCCCAGTGCCAGGCAGCTCGCAGCGAGATGGCAGAGGTGTGCCAGTCAGGGGCGGCGTCTAGTGTGAGCATCTTTCGTTGGAAGCGGCACCATGGGGCGGGGCGGGGGTGCGGACCCGCGGCCTCTGGGCTCTCGTGCAGGGACAGGAGCCGTATGGCCCAGCAACACATGAGCTGGCAGCAAACCTTAACTGTAGCTGCCGCTCGGAGCCTCTCCTCTTCCCGTTGGTGCGCCAGGTGCTTGGCAGCGCTGAGGCTGACCCTCTAGGACTCGGGGCTGGCGGGCAGGCTGCTCTTAGCCTTGTGCTTCCACACCAGTGTGGGAAGTGGTACCTGAGTGCTCGGCCTCCCTTGTCAGCAGTTCCCGTGGTCTCACCAGACTCGGGATTTGCTTCCGCCGAGACTCCTGTCCCTATCGTGTTCGTGCTGCTTGGTCTCCCCTCCTGGGGCACCACGCTTTCTTGCAGGCAGTTCCTTTCTAAGAGCACCGCCCTTCTGGGAAGCAGCTGTGCGAGTCCTTCTGTGGGTGCTGAGTCTGCACCTGTGTCTCCCGCTGCACTTAGGTTCCCCGGGGACAAGTGCCTCCTTGCTCTTCGGATCATTGGAAGCAGCTGCCTTCAGGAATTGAGGAAAATCAGATGTCGCCTGGCAGTTGTCAGCCAGGCCCTTGAGCCCGCATCTGTATCCCAGGCCTCCTTCCCCGTGGACCCATGGTCAGGGTCCCGGGGCGCCTGAGTGGGAAGTGTGTAGGGGCCGGTGCCTCATGGGGGCAGGGCTTCTACCTGCGCCCACCCCGTCCCCACCAGCATCTGGTCCTGTTGACCTGTGGTGTCTGCTCCTTGAGGGGAATCGCTTGGGTGCCTCAGCCATGAATGGGGGAGAAAGGCCGGTGACCCTGAAAGGTCGGGAGTCTGAGTCGCACGCGCCTTCATTCAGGGTTCTCCGTCAGGAGCACAGTAAGGGAGATAGGTGGCCGCTAGACCAGGATTCAGGCAGATCCACACCCACACCACTGCCTGGGACGTCTTTGAGAGCTGGGGGCTGGGGTCTACAGATAGAGACAGAATGAGGCTTGACCCCTGGGCCAGGGTCTGGGCTCCCTTCGTGGATTTGCCAGTATTGTGGTTGGGGGCCCTCCTTTCCTGGGGCTGGGAGACTCTTCCTGCCCATCTGCTGCACATTTTCTGTTTGAGCCACTGCAGGACCCCAGGGTGGGCTGGGGTTCAGAAGTGAGGCCTGGGGCCTCCTTGGGAGGGAGGACATCTGCCACGATGGGGAAGCTCGTGGTGAGAAAATCCTACTGCGCTCAGAGGACAGCCACACCATCCACTCCCCGCACTGTGCACCTCGTGTGGCCCTCGGAGACAGGGTGCAGCACAGAGCAAGGCTCAGGCCAGGACGTCATGGGGTGGGGGGCTTCTCCTGGAAAGAGGATTTGCACAGGCAGGGCTGCATGGGGAGGGGCCTGGCAACTGAGTCCACCCATCAGAGCCCCCCAGGGCTGCCGTCTGAGCCCGTGTCTACTCACACGGATGGGTGGATGTACAGGCTGCCACAAGTGCCAGGGTGATGCTGGTGGCCTCTGGAGGAGGAAGTTGGTGGCTGGGGTGGGACTTTGGATGAACCTGTGAGCGGCAGGACCCGGCGAGGAGGAGGGGAAGGGCCTGCAGGGGGCTCCATCAGGGCTGGGACCCTGGACGATTCTGACCTGCTGACAGAGGGGATGAATCCACCTCTGAGCTGGGCGTCGGGGGCCCTCTGCTGGCAATGGCCAGAAGCTCAGCTCCTTTGTGTGGAGAAAGGACTGCAGTCCCCCGTCCCCCCCAAGAAGGTCCCTTGGTCCTGCCTCCTGGGCTGGAAGACCATCTGCGTGTCCCTGCCGAGGGGGCATTCCTCGAGGACCTCAGTGTCCCAGTACCTGTCCCCCGGCACAGGCCCCACAGTCAGGTTGCCCAGGTCTCCAGTGCTGCGTGGCCGTGTCCCCAGGTGCACGTGCTTCTGTGCTTCCCATGGGTGCGGACGCGGGGCTTGCCTGTGCCCACAGCAGGCGGGGGAGGGCAGTGATGATGGGTCACGGCCTGGGCACGTGGGCAGCCCTCCTGCCCTCCCACTTATGGTCTGGTTGGCACTGGCGGCTCCCATGTAAATCATCCATTCTTCGTGCCAGGGCCTGGCCGGCTGCTGTGAGCCGAGCTGCGCATGACGGTGATGTGGGAGTATTGGGGGGCCTGGCCCAGGCTGCATTTGCTTCTCGGGGGCTCCTGCTGAGAGTGTGGGGGGAGTTCAGGGAGACACAGGTTCCCTGAGAAGAACCTCAGGCGGCAGGTGGCAGTGGAGCCAGGTGCCCAGACCTGCTGGGGGGGGGCTCTGCTGGCAATGGCCAGAAGCTCAGCTCCTTTGTGTGGAGAAAGGACTGCAGTCCCCCGTCCCCCCCAAGAAGGTCCCTTGGTCCTGCCTCCTGGGCTGGAAGACCATCTGCGTGTCCCTGCCGAGGGGGCATTCCTCGAGGACCTCAGTGTCCCAGTACCTGTCCCCCGGCACAGGCCCCACAGTCAGGTTGCCCAGGTCTCCAGTGCTGCGTGGCCGTGTCCCCAGGTGCACGTGCTTCTGTGCTTCCCATGGGTGCGGACGCGGGGCTTGCCTGTGCCCACAGCAGGCGGGGGAGGGCAGTGATGATGGGTCACGGCCTGGGCACGTGGGCAGCCCTCCTGCCCTCCCACTTATGGTCTGGTTGGCACTGGCGGCTCCCATGTAAATCATCCATTCTTCGTGCCAGGGCCTGGCCGGCTGCTGTGAGCCGAGCTGCGCATGACGGTGATGTGGGAGTATTGGGGGGCCTGGCCCAGGCTGCATTTGCTTCTCGGGGGCTCCTGCTGAGAGTGTGGGGGGAGTTCAGGGAGACACAGGTTCCCTGAGAAGAACCTCAGGCGGCAGGTGGCAGTGGAGCCAGGTGCCCAGACCTGCTGGGGGGGGGTGTTGGGGGGGGTGACAGGGGTAGGGAGACGCTGTGGGTCTTTGCCCCCTGTGGTGTGTGTGCCTGACCCTCCAAACCCTTCCCAGGCCATCACAGAGAGGGGTGGGAAGTTGCCCTTTCTGGGGGGCCTTCTCTGAGGCCAAGCGGGCAGGGTCCCCGTTGAGCACCTGGTCTCTCTCCTCCTGGGCACAGACCCCTGAGTGTCCCCGCTCGCTCCCTGTGCTGCCTGGGGTGGATGGTGGAGCTCCCTGAGGCTCAGGCTTCTCATCTTCGAAGTGGGCACGAGGACTCACCCATAGCAGGAGGGTCACGTCCAATGGCAGGCCACGTGCTGGCACAGCACACCCGGGGCGTGCGTGGGGCAGCCTCTCATCCTGTCTCTGTGTCCTCGGCACAGCACAGCGCCAGCCCGGATGAGGTGGCAGGCACTGTTTGTCAGCTGAATTACCAACTTGCCTCCACGTGCCCTGGAAACTTGTGAGCCGTGGGACCATCCCTCGTCTTTCAGATGAAGCCCCCAGGGGCGGAGAGGCACAGGGCTTGCTGGGGACTGGTGCCTCTAGTTTCCCTGCTCCTTCGAGGATGCCTCAGGGTCAGGGGTGGGCATCAGAGGTGTAAAACCCCTATGTGGGCCCCTACCATCAGTGGGCACTGACCTCAGAAGGACTAGAACGTGGGGTCCCAGCTGGGAGACCCCTGCCCGGCCTCCTGATGCCCTCAGATCCAGGCCTAGCCCTTAGCGTGACTGCCCCCTCTCGGAGTTCTCCCGGCCCGTCTCCTCCCCCGTCACCAGGCAGTCCCCTCTAGGCCGAGCCCCAAGCTCTTGTTACCTGAGCCTTGACGGTCCCCGTACGAGAACGTCCCCTCTCCACGTGGCCGGCCTCTTGCCTGGGTCTCCAGGCCTGTCCTGGGGATATATGGGCCTCCCTGCTCAGAGGGGCTCTCCCGTCACCTTGGCTGCAATGTCTCCTCCGGCCTCCAGGCGGGCGGCTGTGACTGTCTGGGGCTTGGGAACTTGGATGAACAAAGAGCAAGGCGTTTGGCGTGTGTGCTTGCGGGCGGATGAGGTGGAAGGAGCGCTGGGAAGTGGGTGTGAGGGTTGGAGGTGGGGGGAGTGGAGGCCCAGGCCGCCCCTGCCCTGACCAGTCCCCCGCCCCCTGCAGCACCGGCAGCTGCTGAAGGACAGCTTCATGGTGGAGCTGGTGGAGGGGGCCCGCAAGCTGCGGCACGTCTTCCTCTTCACTGACCTGCTCCTGTGCACCAAGCTCAAGAAGCAGAGCGGAGGGTGAGTGACGGTGCGGCCCGCCGAGAGGAGGGTCGCCGGGGTATGGGGTGGTTGCTATAGGAGGAGGCCTGGCGTTCTTTCCAGTGAGCCTCGAGAGGTCGTAACCTGTTGCCAGGCTGCTCTCATTAAGCTACATTCTGTTTCCAGAATGCCAGGCTCGAGGTCAAAGTTCATCATTAGGAATCTGGAGACATTCAGGGTCTGGGTGGGTGACCAGGCTGTTGACTATGACTTCAGGTGCTATTGAGGGGCTGTCGTGTCGCGACCCAGACAGGTCAGGGGGCTGCAGGGTCTGGTGCAGGTGGGGGATGCCCCTCCCCTGTCCTTGGAGGGCATCACTAGGTGATCCCTACATTTTGTCTTCCCGAGATCATGGTGGCTTCTAAGTGATTCTCAGCATTGGCCTGCAGACCCCACCCAAACCCCCAGGGATCAGACCACACAGGTTGCAGCAGTGGGGGGCCAGGGGGTGGGAGGCAGTGGCTGGAATGGAGGAAGGAAGGTCACGTTGGGAAGAACCAGAACTGGCTCTTCACCCCATTCTGCCATCGCCACGCTGAGTGGATTTAATCAGAAGAGAGCCTTGGTTTCCCCATCTGTCAAGGGAGGGATTACACCGGGTAGATTTGCAGCCCCTCAGACTCTGCAGCTCTGGACGTGTCTGCAGCCCTCTCCTGACTGTCACTGGCGGCCTAGGTGGTCTCCCGCGTCAGGGAGCCTATGAGCCACCACCGTCAGCACAGAGTAGGGTGAATGAGGGCTTGTCAGACCCATGGGGCCTGGGTCACACGTGCACAATGACCCTCCCCGGGGGTCACTGAGGCTGGGTCGCCAGTGTCTGCCTGTGGCCTTATCCCAGCCTGTCTCAGGGGCCATGAGCAGAGTTTGAAGGTCAGGTAAACTTTGTGGCCATGAACTTAGGGTTCCCCAGAGTCGAAAGCAGTGACTTAAGCAAAGGAAGGTGGTCAGCCTGTTAACCTGCCCCTCCCCCCACCCAGCAAAACCCAGCAATACGACTGCAAATGGTACATCCCGCTCACGGATCTCAGCTTCCAGACAGTAGACGACTCGGAGGCCACACCCAACATCCCTCTGGTGCTGGATGAGGAGCTGGATGCCATGAAGATCAAGATCTCCCAGATCAAGAGTGACATCCAGAGAGAGAAGGTGGGGCTGGGGGGGGTGGTGCCAGGCCGGGCTCTGCAGCTCGAGTGGGCAGCATCCCCTCATGCTGGCAGGCGGGCGAGTTCTGCAGGGCATCTGACCCCACTTCTGGTCTCTGGGACCTGCTGGGACCCCTGTGAGCCCTCGCAGTGCCAGGCCTCCCGTCAGGCATGGAGCGGTCCAGGATGGGGTGGGGGGAGGTGCCCCTCTGACCCTCTTATAACTGCCCTGATCTGGAGCGAATCCCAGGCTGGGGGGAAACACGGCCCCTCCACGGGGTCTGGACTGCACCCAGAAGGCCCCTGGTTGTTTCTGGAGAGGGACAGTGTTCTGGAGGAACAGTGAGGATGAACCTCTCGCCTGTAGGGTCAGCCCAGGCCAGAGCGGGTCCCTCACAGTGGCCAAAGACAAGGTGGGTCCCCAGAAGGTTGATGTCCAGGGACACCCTGCTGAGGTGGGTGCAGCAGGACAGGGGTCCTTCTCAGCCCTCACCCTACCCAACCTTCTGTACTGCAAACCCCGCAGGATGAGAAAAGCACAGGAGCCCCAGGACCGGCATGAACTCTGGGTTGTTTATGCGTCCCGACGGACCCGTGGCCCCCATGGCAGAGTGTCCCGAGGCAGAGGGGAGCCAGGGCTGCGTCCGCGGGCCTGTCAAGCTCTCTGCCACCACTCACCCATCCGAGCCGTGCCCTCTGCCTAGTGGCAGGCAGCACAGCCTCCCCCAGGGACAGAGGGCTTCAGGAGGGAGGAACACGACACGCGGCAGGGAAGGTTTTCCCAGCCAGGTCCTGGGGGTGCATGTCACCCTCCATCAGGACCCTCGCAGTCACTCCCGGGGGGCCTGATGCTGAAATGTGGCAGATCCAGGAGCAGGGAGGGGCCTTTGGGGTCACGACAGGCCCCTTCACATTGTCTAAGTTTGGAGCAAGTGAAAAATGGGAGGTTTGTGAGAGGAAGAACTTAATCCCTTAAGAAGGATGGGCTGAGCACGTCCGGCAGTCTATGCCGGGCCTGGACGCTGTGGCCGAGACCCTGTCCACGCTGGCCCACCAGACGGTCTCCCGTCCTCCACGGACCGAGCATCAGGGGTGGTGGGGCAGGCAGAGTGGGAGCGGGCCGCGCTGGGCCAGGGCTGGGAACGTGACCATGCCCTCTGCCCACAGAGAGCAAACAAGGGCAGCAAGGCCATCGAGAGGCTGCGAAAGAAGCTCTCGGAGCAGGAGTCGCTGCTCTTGCTCATGTCCCCCAGCATGGCCTTCCGCGTGCACAGCCGCAACGGCAAGGTGAGCGCCCTCTGGGGCTTTGGGCCGGAGCCCCCGTGCCTGGGAGGTGGTGGGGTCTCCAGGGAGTCTCAATAGGGCAGGGGCCTTGCAGGTTTGTGCAGACCCAGCCCTCGGTGCAGAAATGCTGTCCGGGACCTCTTGGGCCAGAGAGACAGCTTCTCTCCTGAGTGGCTTCTGCTCCCTCTGTAGCCGGGACCTTTCCCTCCATGGGCATAATGCACTTGCCAGGGGGCAGCTGGTGGGGGGGCAGCCGGTGGGCTTTGCGGGAGCCTTGCCTCTGCGTCATGGGCCCGGCTTGTGGGCATCAGCCCTCCCCTCTGCAGGTCCCACCTGGTGACCCCGGTGGCCCTACACTCTGATTCATCACGCCCTGACCCAGGCGCAGCAGGAGGGGCGGAGGGTGCAGGGAGGGACGAGCAGTGCTGTGAGCACACCCGCCCGAGCTCCGCCAGCCTGCAGCGCAGAGATGCTCGTGCGTCCTGTGGGCGTGCTGCAGACTCCACGCGGTGACCAGGATGGAGCCCTGGATCCACTGGGCGCCCGCTCAGCCGGGGTGGAGATAACGGGTGTGCTCTCCCCCGCCCCAGAGTTACACGTTCCTGATCTCATCCGACTATGAGCGGGCCGAGTGGAGGGAGAACATCCGGGAGCAGCAGAAGAAATGTGAGTGGCCTGCACGCCCAGGCTGTGGGCTCGGGAGCGTCAGGGCTGGATGGTCACCTCCCATGGTCTCAAACCTTGTTTTCCCCAAGGGACAGTGGAACTCTTAACCAAGTGAAGTGTGCCGTGGAGCCCTAATACGGGAAATAATGGGGGAGGGGCTGTCCTGATAGGGCCCCCTGCCCTCTGACCTCCTCCCATGACCCCCCTTCCCCTCCTCTGAATTCCCACCTGCATTCTGGACCTCCCTACTCTGAATTCCCTGCCTGCCCCCGGGGGCCCCCCTGCACCCCTGCTGCCTTTCTGTGGCTGCCACGCACGTGGCCCACCCGCCTTGCCTCCCCCCAGGCCTGCCACACACCCCAGCAGATGCTGATGCCATACGGTCCTCGACTGGGCCCACCTGTGCCGCCACACTGTGCCGGCCCTGCTCCCCTGTGCTTGACCGCTGTCAGGACAGGGCGCCCACTCCCCTCTGGACGGCCCCTTCTTTGGGCGCTTCCCTCCGTTAGCAGTTCTTTCCTTCTGCTCAGCTCAGAGCTGCCCTGTCCTGCCTGGCAGCCTTCAGGGTGGGACGGCAGACCCCGCCCCAGGTCCTGGGGCTGCAGCTGCCTGGTTCCCTCCTCCGCCCCCAGCCATACGGTTTGGGATTCCCGAGCCATCCTTGCTAAAAGGTTTCTGCGTGTGCCCTGTGTGCCCCCCAAGGTAGGTTGGGGGCTCCGCACGCCTCTGCCCTGTCCTGAGCGCCTGTCCTCCCAGGGTTGTCATTCGTGCCTGTGCTGAGACCCCAGTGCCACTGCCAGAATGGGCGCTCCTGGTGACTCTGACGGCCAGTGCCTGGGGCCCTGCCAGAGTTCCTGTCCCAGGTGTCCTGTTGTAACCAGGGGCCCAGACCATTTACAGCATGTGTTGTCTGCTCAGAAATAATCCCCTTTCCCCACCTGGTGGAGAGAAGGGGGAGCAGGGGACAGAGCCCCACAGGAAGGTGCCCCAGATCACCCCCTCGCAACCACCTTGAGGCCGTGCCAAGGTGGTGGGCGGCCCTGTGTTTGTGAGCGTTGTGCAAAGATTCCTCCAGCCCTCTGAGGCCAGCCTGGGCCCCCCGGGGCCATGCCTCACCTGCCCCTTACCGGCTCCTCCCTGGGAGCAGGTGGCCCCTGCGGTCCTCCTAACCAGGGTGTGCTGAGGACCCAGTGGGGGTATGTCTGAGAACACCCCATGGGGGTCCTGGGGAGTCCGAGGGCTGGGCAGACTCACCAGTTGGTGCGCCTGTGCCCCCATCTCAGGTTTCAAGAGCTTCTCTCTCACGTCTGTGGAGCTGCAGATGCTGACCAACTCATGCGTCAAGCTTCAGACCGTCCACAGCATCCCGCTGACCATCAACAAAGAAGGTGGGCTGTGCCCGCCAGGCCACCGTCCCTTTCTGCTGTTAGTGCCATCCTGGGACCGGAGACGTCCATTTCAAGGCTGAGTGTGCTGCTGAGGGCCTGTCAGCCTCTCCGGGGTGTGGACGGGACGGGTTAGGGGTGGTCGCTCCCAGGCGGCGGCCACGGGGTGGTTGAGAAGACCGATGACTTGGCGCCAAGTCCCGAGCCACTCCTCAGACCCTCTGTGCTCTGGGCCCCGCTCCCCATCCCCTCAGCCTGGTGCCGCCCACCCCCACCTGTGGTTGTGCTGCATCTTGTGTTTACTGTTACACACACTCGTGCACATGCAGCCACACGCAGGGGTATGCTTTGCACATTCAGGCACACACACCCCATCCACGTGGCATGCTCCCCAACCGTCTCCTGTCCCGAGAACCTGTCACGTCTCTTCTCGGTCCCTGGTTTGCCCATGTTGTGAACCCAACTAGATCCTAAGGTCCCCGAGACAGAGGCCACAATGCGTGTGTTTCTGCTCCTGACATTGCCTTGTTCCCTGCTAAGCAAGTGACAGTCACACGGGGCTCCCATGAGGGTCACCTTGAAGCAGAACCTGTCACCTGCCTGCTTCTCCCAGGAGGACGGACGCTCACCTCTCTGGTCTCTCGCACAGATGATGAATCTCCCGGGCTCTACGGGTTCCTGAATGTCATCGTCCACTCCGCCACTGGCTTTAAGCAGAGTTCTAGTAAGCGGCTGGGTTGGGGAGGACGGCGGCCGGACACTGAGCCGAAGGGTGCGGGGACCAGAGAAGCAGCTGACCGCTGGGAAGTGCGGTGCTGGCTGACGCCCACTGGGTGTGGAGTTGCTTTCCCTGGGGTGGACCATGCTGTTGCCAGCGCCTGGCTCAGACCCCGCGAGCTGGGGAGCTGCCCCCTGCAGGCGAGTCCTGCAATTGCAGGGGCTGGGGTTCGCTATAGACCGAAAACGCTGCCTAGGTTGCCAGGAAGCCAGGAGGCTGAGGGCCGGCACCCTGACCCTGGTCAGCAGAGGAGATTCTGCCGCTCTGATGAGCCAGAGGGATGCCCTTTTAATACTTCCCCCTGGGGGCACCTCTCCCAGCCACTTGAGCTGTCAGAGTGGTGAGGGCTGGTCACATTTCAGCCCAGGTACAGCAGACGCTCACCTGTCAGCCTGGCACCAAGTTCTCAGGGTCCCTCGGAGGAGGACACAGGGCAGGCACCGTTCTGCTGACCTTCCCACTGTTGCCACAAAGCCAAACGAGAAATCTCTGACGAGCCACAGGATAGAAGATATTTACAAACTGTGTATATATGATCAGGGCCTTGTATCCAGAATATATAGAGAACTCCTATAACACAGTGCTTGAGACAACCCAGTTTTTAAGAAATGAGCAAGAGATTCAGATAAACAAATTTACAGATTTGTGGTTGAATGGGAGAAATGGGCATAAGAGATCTTTTAGGCGTGATGGAAATGTGCTACAATTGGATAGTGGTAGTGATTACACCACTCTGTAAACTTACCAAAAGCATTGAATTGGTCACTTAAAGTGGGTAAACTTTAAGGTATGCAGTTCATACCTCAGTAAAGACATTTTTTAATAAAAAAGAATGGAACACAATATCTATTGAATAAATTGTCTCACTAACTAGAGGTGAATAAGTCTGAATACAAATACTTTTTCATTTTACCCTGTACTAACTTTATTAGTACACTGATGGACGCCGCGCCCCTGCACCCACTTTTCTCCCAGCACCGAGCTGCTGTCAGTGAGCAGGGGAGCGAATGTTCTGAGAGATGGCGGTTCTCTGCGCACTGTTGTGAGGTGCTGCTAACCTTGCCGGCCACTGGTTTGGTGTCTTGTTTTAAAAAGAAAACCAAGGACTTTCCTGGCAGTCCAGTGGGTGAGAGTCCGCACTTCCACTACAGGGGGCACAGGTTCGATCCCTGGTCGGGGAACTAAGATCCCGCATGCCACGCTGTGCAGCCAAAAAAAACAAGACAAAAATAAAACCAAGACTGTTTTTTATGATTTAGAAAATAGCACCTGCTTTTGTAAAAGACATTGGTAATAAGGGAAAGCATGGTCATCCTCTCTGTGTCGCTCTCCCGCAGGTCTGTACTGCACCCTGGAGGTGGATTCCTTTGGCTACTTTGTAAATAAAGCCAAGACACGTGTCTACAGGGATACGGCTGAGCCCAACTGGAATGAGGTGAGGCCCGACTTCTGGGTGATCAGGAGGAACATCTTCCAGGGAGAGAGTGTGACCCCAAGGGCTTCCCCGCAGGCAGTGGTGCCAGCATTCCCGGAATCTCCTGGAGGACCGGGCATGCCAAGAGATAGAGATTTTATCTCCATGTTCCTGAGAATTCTCCACTCCCGTCCCCCCAGTTCCAAAGAAACTTTTTTTGCTGACAAAGCATCTGGAAAAAGAACTTAGAAGGGCTTCTTGTTACTAAGGCCTTTGTTATTGCTCAGTGTTTCCTTGGGAGGTTTCCATGGCATTTTTCCTCAGAAATTGGAATGAGCATTCAGCTCTGTGACCCTCTCAGTGTCCAGAAGCTGGGGCTCTGCTTGTGTGTGGGGCCTCACTGGACTGGAGGGAACCCCAGTCTCTTCTCTCAGCATCACTCCTGTGATTATTAGTTGTGCCTCCTCCGTAGGACTGGGGCACGGGGAGCCGACGGACTACCTGGTCCTTATAGCTCTATAGCTCTGGGTGCCCATACGGAAAGGGCTGGTGTCTGCTATGACAAGGAGGGATCACAGCCAGGTGGATCCATCGAAGAAGGCTTTGAGGAGAGCGAGAGGGCCGTGACCCAGCAGAGGTGACAAGGGCAGGGATCTGGATACTATGCAGAGGGTTCTGGTGTGAGGCAGCCCTGGGGACTCGAGGGACCGAGCATGGGGTGGGGGGAGCTTCAGAGCATCAGGCCACCAGGCGGCCACCCTGGCTGTGTGTGTATGGATTATCCAGGGCCGCACAGATTCTGGGCATACACACCCTCCCTACCCCCATTCAGGCTCAGAAATATTTGCTCTCCCCTCCCCGCTGCTTCCCCAGCAAGAACCCATGCCTGCAAAAGCACTGGTGTGAAATGCAGCATTTACTGAAGGTTTCATAGGGGTGATGGAGGAGAAAGTAGACACCTTGGAGTGTCTACGGGAGAATTCTTTCCTCCCAGGCCCCTCTCTCGCCTAGGTCACCTCCCTGGATCGATTTTTTTTCCCCCGCTTTCAAATAGACTTTATTTGTAGAGCAGCTTTAGGTCCACAGCAAAAGTGAGCAGAAAGGACAGAGATTTTCCATGTTGCCCTGTCCCTGTCCCCACCCCCGCCAACTATTGACACAGCAGAGTGGGGCACTTGTAATTGGTCAACCTCCGAGGACACATGCCCCAAAGCCCACAGAGTGTCTGCGTTTGTAACCAGCACCCCAGAGCTTCTGGTGCAGGTGGTGCGGGGACCACCCTATGAGATGCTGGCTTAAGGAGCTTGGCTTAGGTTTGAGAGGCGCTCAGAGCTTCCACAAGCATCCAGACTGGTCCACGGTGTGATGCTCACAGGGAAGTGGCTTCCGAGGGTCTGCATCGTGGGACGAAAGTGAGGAGAGTCTCAACGCGGGGCCTCCCGGGGCAGCTCGGGAGCTATCTGTGCAGGAGCCACGGTTCAGCCGGCAGCACTGACCCCCACTCGCTGGGGCCCCCCCAATTAACTCGGGGCTTTCCTTCTCTCTCGGGGCCACAGGAGTTTGAGATCGAGCTGGAAGGCTCACAGACCTTGAGGATACTGTGCTACGAGAAGTGTTACAACAAAAGCAAGATCACCAAGGAGGACGGCGAGAGTGCAGACAGGATCATGGGGAAGGGCCAGGTGCAGGTGAGGCTGCTGCCCTCTGCTCCCTGCAGGGTCCTATCTGCCCCCACCACCGCTATATAGTCGTCCCCCGGCCCCGGACGCACTCACCCCAGCTCCAGATGCTCTGTGTTCTTCCCCACTTGACACTCAAGGGCACTGAGAGGGGGGTGAGGCAGGCCTGGCTCTGAATCATCCGCCGTGGGAGACCTGGGCGGGCACCTTCGTGGGTCCTTTTCTGCCCCTCTGTCTGTCTGTCTGTCATGCCCCGTCTTGTCCCCAAAGGAATTTCAGGTCCAGGGATGCCGTGCCTCCATGGCCTCCGGAAGACCCCAAGGCAGGCCACTGAGTTGGTGCCCTGGGTTGCAATTAGGAGCTTCCTCTTCTTGGAAAAGCATGAGAATCTGGGTCTACCTGCCTGACATCCCCTCTCTGGCTTCTGGACTCAGATTCCAGGGGGTGCAGCTGCATCCCTCCTGGGGCACAGGTCCCCCCCTGGAGTTGTCATAGGAGCCCCTGGTGGGCCAGGAGTGTCTGTACAGGACCAGAGAGGGGTCCCAGGTCCAAGCCATTCGGGCCCTCAGTCCTTCTAGTTTACCCAGGCCCTGGAAGCACCCCACCCCCACCCCTCAGCTCTCGCACTGCTTGGCAGACAGGAGCTGCATCACCTGCCTTGCGCTTCTTGCAGCCTCACCTGCACGGTTCTGACCCCTGTGGAGAAAGCCCCGATACCCTCTTTCTTTACGGGACATCTTACTGGACCCAGTTACGCGGGTTCCTCCCTGCTCTGCCCTGGAGGTGGGCCCTGACTGTTCCCCACTCCCCCTGGTGCCCCAGGACCCCTGGATGAGGCCTCCTGGCGGGGGAGTGGTTGGACATTCCAGGTGCCAGTCAGAGGACAGGGCTTGCCAGGAAGCCCCGCCTCCCTCCCCTGGGGCAGGAAGTGAAGATCCTCACAGCAGGAA